TGGTCACATTTTGTGATGGAACCCTGGTGGCACAGTGGTTAAGAGTTTGGCTGCTAACTATAAAGGGTCAGTAGTTCAAATCCACGAGCTGCTCCTTGGAAACCCTATGGGGCAATTCTACTCTGTCTTATAGGGTTGCTATGAGTTGGAATCGACTTGACGGCAACAGGTTTGGTTTTTTGGGATTTTTTATATTTTGTGACATAGGTTGGAGAAATAGAGAAAAAGTCAGTGCATTGTAAAAGAAAATGATAAAGCGAGAAGAGCAAAGAGTCATAGAGATTTCCTGATGGTTTTCTGGTTCCAGCTCAAGATTCTTCCCAAAGTCCAGTGGGATTCCCACCCTTGGAGATATCTCTAGTCATCCCTTTTCCCCTTTCCTGAGAAAGCTAGTGCTACCTGGTATCTGTTAATTGTAGTAAAAGGATCTTCCTTGCATGTGGCCAAAAGTTTAGCAGTTGGTAAGAGCTCAGATGAAGCCAGAGATAGTTCTGCCAGAATAATCTGGAGGAATTCAGGTCTGTCCCTAACACATACTGAGCAGGGAGCTTGCAGAGATGCAGGCTGATCCTGGAAGGCAGAGTCCAAGCCCTGTTTTGGGAGTTTCTTGCAGTCCAGTAACCTCCTTGCACAGTTGTCTTGAGAAAAGTCAGAAGTGAAATTAATAAGCAGGGGATGCAGAATGTTGCATCAGAACCCCGGACACAGTGTCTGAGCGGCTATATACAGGAGAGGGGAAAAACTGAAACCTTGACTATCCTTTGGTGTGTCCATTTCTCCATCCCTGGCTAATGTGTCTATGTCCATGTCATATCTGGCCAAGTGGTTCCTGTGTTAGGTCAAATTACTAGGCGCCACTCCTGGTAGTCCCTTCTGTCAATTCCTTTAAGTTCTGCTTTGCAACAATATTCCCGGTTTGCTGGTGCTGGCGGGCCACGGGAATAACACTGCAGCACTGCCAGTCGGCATTGCTTATGCTGGAACTACGACAGCATCTGATCTTCTTCAATCTCCAACTTTGGTTTCTGATTAATGAAAACATTCTTGGCAAATGCTTTCACTGTGGAACTCCTTTAAGCCTCAGTTTTCTCATCTGTAAAATGGTCACAGTAACACTGAGGCTTGTTTCAGGCTTAGAGATACATGTGTCCAGCTCAATGTCTAACGTACTATATATCATTGATTCCAAGACACACATTTTTTCCCATTTAATGGAGCTGGGGTGGGGTCAAGCACCATAGATCAAACACTGCCCACTTCCCCCCACCATCCCCAATCTGAGGGCCTTCAGGTGAAAGGCGTCTATCTCCATATCTTAAGCCGTAGGCTGTGGGCAGTGGGGATGGGCATGAGGGCTCAGTCCTGTATCCCCTCTACTCTTCACTCCCAAAACCTATTGAACCAAACCCATTGCCATCGAGATGATTGTGACTCACAGCGACCCTATAGGATAGAGAACTACCCCATAGGGTTTCCAATGAGCGGCTGGTGGATTCGAATTGCTGACCTTTTGGTTAGCAGCCTGAGCTCTTAACCAACTCCCTTGCCCCTATAAAAGGAAAATTATCCCAAACATGGTCTGAAACCAAATGTTTCTACATAAAACACCTTCTGGAAAGAAGTTAGCATTCTTGATGAAATACTTAAGCAATTTTCTTATAAATTTAATGGTATTGAGAAGTGCTAAGAAAATCATTTTCTACCCAGTCCAGTTCACTGTCATCTGTCAAGAGTGTATTGACCTTTAACCAAATATCCTTTTCTTTTGTATCTTGTCTAGCAATGACTACCTAGTCATTCTCTTTCCCTATAAAATGTCTCTACAGATAGGGTACATGGGAGATTACTTTTCTGAGAATTTCTATGTCTGAAAATGTCTTTGTTCTACTCTAATACTTGATTAATTGGCTGGGTATAGGATTCTAGGTTAAAAGGCATTTTCCCTCAGAATTTAGAAAGCATTGCCTTCCAACTTCCAATGTTACTGTTGAGATGTCTGATGCCATTCAGATTCTCAACCCTTTGTATGAAACCAGTCCTTTTGCTCCGGAAACTTCTAGGATCTTCTCCTTTTCCGCAATGTTCTGAAATTCATGAAGATGAATTTTAGTGTAGGTCTAATTTTATCCATTGTGCTAGGTACTTGATAGGCCCTTTTGTTCTGGAAACACATATTCTTCAGGTCTTAGAAATGTTCTTGAATTTTTTAAAGATTCCCTCCCCTCTACTTTTTATTTGTTCTTGAACTCCTAAGTTAGGCTCCTAGAATTTTCTCTATTTTTCATCTTGTTTGTTTTTTGTTGTTCTACTTCCTGGAAGATTTCTTCAACCTTATCTCCCAATCTTTCTATTATTTATTTCTTAAGGACATATTCAATTTACAAGAGCTCTTTTGTTGTGTGAAAATTTTTAGAATTATGTATTTTATTCTTTTGTCATGGATACAGTATTTTATTAAAATATATTAATCATAATTTTTTTAAGTTTTTTTTCCCCTGCATATTCTGTTCCCTCCAAGCTACTTTGTTCTATTGGTTTGTTTTCGTCTGTCTTTCATAGTAAATGCTTTCCTGACGGTGAGCCTTGGCTGCCTGCTCAAGTTTAAGCATTGAGCTCTTAAAATAAGTTGTTTGGGAAGTTCTGTGGGTATCGGTGGGCTTGTTGGCTGTGGGCCTTTCCTGCGGGGTGCTTCAGCCAGCTTGTTTCATTAGGAAGAAGTACTTTTAAGTCTTTTCTCTTGGGCTGATCAGACTCTCCAATTACCTTGCCTTTTTCTAGAAGGGTCAAAGTCAGACTGCCAGTGCCTGGGATCACAGGGGGAGAAGAAAGCTGGAGGAGCCTCTCCCTCAAATATGGAAAGTTCCACTTAATCCTCCTGTCAGTATGATAATCTTACTCTCTTCTGTGCCTGGTGTCCCAGGCTTCTACAGGGTAATAAAGAGGCAGCCAGCCGGCTGTCCATACTGGGTATGAACACATCTAGTAATCTGATGCTTTAACGATCTATCACTGAATCTCCATTTTTAGCCCCATTTCATTCCATCCTGGGGGTTCCCAGTGCCACCAATTCCTCAGCCTTTTGGGGGTTCTTCAACGATGAAAACTGAGTTGCTGCTCAGGTTTCCCTATTGCTGACTTAGGATCCAGCCTTCTTGGGTCTACCAATTCAGTTAAATCCATATGCTTTCTGATATCCAAAATTTTGTTGTGGTTGACTCTTCTTTTTCTTCATCCTCATGGGTTTATACCATTTAAAAAAAAAGCTCTTTCTTGTAGGATTGTAGGAGTGGACCTAAATGTGTGTCACCTAACATGCATAGTTACGCTGTTTACATTTCTAAAAATTAAAAAAAAACAACACACATTAGCTTGAAACCAACATTTTCTCAAGCTTTGGATCGCAAAACACTTTAACATGTATCATGTCCTCCCAAGCTGATAACAGCCCTGTAGGGGTAGAGAATATTCCGTTTTATAGTGAGAAAATTAGGATATGACACGTTTCCACATTTTCTCTAACGCAAACTGACAGCATATGGGCCAAATCTGGAAAAAAAATTTTTTATTAGAATTTATTACAAATGTTAAAAATCAGCAACTTTGCATTTAAAAAATCCAGTTTTCAGTAGCTTTTGAAAGAAATGGAAACCAGGGCAACATTGGGCCCACATTCCCCATGGCGACAATCCTGTGGAGCTGAATCGCAAATACCCCTTTCAGATGCTGTGTGAGTCTTTGGGTTCACCTCAGCCTCCACCCAGCTACTTCACTCGTTTGTTACCACAGGCATTTGAAATTGGAGCCAAGAAAGAAACCACTTTATTTGGAAAGAGGAAAATGGAATTGAACACATATGCAAAAATAAATCTATAACCCAAACCATTTCTTTGGGGTCCCACCCTGCCTCCACCATGTCCTGGTGGACCAGTTACCTCAGAGACTAGAAAGAAATAACAGGCACAATTCTTCACAGGGAGTGTGCATATTTTATCTCCTTTCTCTCACATGAGCTGCATATAATTGTGTAAACATTCACTGATTTGTAAAACATATCTGGTACTGCAGACAAGTGTGCTGGGATGAAAGGAAATGAAGTCACAAAAATTGCTGTTTTCAAGGGCAGTTTGCCTGGCTTGATTCGTCAAGGTTGCATTTAGTGATAAATTCCCACGGTGCCTCAGGTGAACGGAGAACAAGAATATTCAGAAGCACTGAGGTTTGGGTTCCTTTTTTTCTTTTGTCTGTAACAAGACTGAAAGGGCCATGAAACTCCAGTTTAACCTTAAATTTTATTCCCAGGATCCTCTAAGTAACAGCAGCTCTTAAGCCCTCTCTCCAACTTAGCTCACTAGCAGTGGCACTGTGAAGTCAATCTACTCTTCAGAAAACGAGCTTCTCCATCTGTGAATGAAGGTACTGCTGGATTATATCCCCATCTCTGCTAATCTCCTGGACCTTCACCTGCTTCTTGAACTTGAAGATAGTCTTGGATGTCTTTCAGTTGAGCTGAATGTCTTAGGGTATTTTTTTGGCATACCCAGCATTTGTGGAAAAAGATGCCCTAACCAGCTTTCCAAAAAAAAAAACCCATTGCCGTTGAGTCGATTCCAACTCATAGTGACCCTATAGGACAGAGCAGAACTGCCCCATAGGGTTTCCAAGGAGCGGCTGGTGGATTCAAACTGCTGACCTTGTGGTTAGCAGCGGAGATCTTAACCACTGTACCACCAGGGATCCCTAACCAGCTTTAACAAAAAAACAAAACAAAACAAACTTATTGCTGTTGAGTCTATTCCAACTCATACTGACCCTATAGGACAGAGTAGAACTGCCCCATAGGGTTTCCAAGAAGCAGCTGGTGGATTTGAACTGCTGACCTTTTGGTTAGCAGCTATAGCTCTTAACTACTACAGCACCAGGGCTCCTAACCAGCTTTAGAAGGCACAAAATTAGGTTTTGAAGGTAGAGTAAGTTCTGCTGGTTCAGAAGATCTCAGTATCTTTTAACTTCGTTTTTTTTTCTTTTTTTTTTTTTTTCACTCTTAATGGTTCTTAAGAAGCATTTGCTTAGTTATACATCCAGGACATTCCAGCCTCCTGGAGGAGAAGGGGACTGCCTACTAATATTAAAGGCCATGTGGGTGGGTGGGGTTGGAATTGTAGAAGTGATGGTTCAAGCTAATCCCCAAAATGAATCACTAATTGGTTGGAGGAACTAAAGCCTCAAAGACAGAGTGCAGTGATTCGGGCTGACTCTATTTGTTCACACATTTGGCTGACTCTGTGCCAAGGTGCTGTGTTTTTGAGCCCTGGAGGCCACAAAGTTGAGATAGCTTCTGCCCTCAGAGCTTAATATGGTAGCTCTCAGTCAATCTTCGGTAAAACGGTTAGAACGGGTTGGCAAACCACAGTCTGGGTGGGCCACCTGTTTTTATAAATAAAGTTTTATTGGAACACAGCCACATTCATTTGTTTACATATTGACAATGGCTGCTTTTGCTCTACCAAGGGCAGAGTTGAGTAGTTGACAGAGACTGTATGGCCAGCAAAGTTTAAAATATTTACTATCTGGTCCTTTACAAAAAAAGTTTGCTGACCTCCCCTGGGTTAGATGAAAAGAGTTGATATATAACTAAGAAATGAGACAGGTGACTAGGGAACACCAACTATTCACATAATAAAATCCCAGAGAGAGAGGAGGCTTAGTGAATCATAAACAACAAAAAAGCATGAAACACTATGAGGCTAGATTACTTGGAAGAGACAAATCACAATAAAGTTGCTTTTTATATGCATTTAACATATGCAAGTTAACTATATGCGGTAGTTTAAAAAAAGACACAAAACCAAAAATTTAACACAAGCCAACCACTTGATTTGGTACAGGTGAAGAAAGGGTGATCAGTTTTAACTTCCAGAGGAAAACTGGCTGTGATGAGTCCATATGCAAAAACCAGGGATACTGAACTTGATGGGTGGTTTAAGGGATTTTTCAAGAGTAAACTTGACTCTGCTTGATAATTTCCTTCTGGGCACACTCTGGACTTTGGAAACTAATGATTGCACAGGTTCCTGACTCCATAGCACTTAACACTAAAGTGTTGAAGGATCTGTTTTAATGAACAGGTAAGAATGATTTCTATGCTACACTGCTTTTTTTATGTTTTGACTTTTAAATAAACAAAGACTTCTTTAGCACTTAGGGCTGATCAATGCAGTCTATTTTCTTTGCTGTTTGAAACACCCAATTGAAAGCATGCTGTTAGATCTGAACTCCTTTTAAAGGGAAGGCTCATTAAAATAAGGATAACCATAGCCTGGCCCTGGGGAAACTACTAGAATTAACGAATGTTTATAGTTCTTGCCCTCTCATTCTCAAACATCTCAGATAATTCTCAAGGGGCTGCTGCTGAAAGCATCCAGCTGCAAAGGACAAGAAAACCAGCCTAGGTTCAAGCAGAAAAGGCCAAGGATGAGGGCTGGGGAACAGCTACTACAGGCCATTAGATGCTAAGACAACATTGAGGAGTACTGTACAAAGGACACTTGTCACATTGTGCATGCTGCCACTGAGATGCAGAGATGGCGTCTGCTGGGAGGAAAGGCTCCAACACTCCAAGCCACTGTCCTTCCATGTGTAAGCTCTGAGACGCACCCATTTCCACACTAGCTGATGTAGGGGTTAGAGGTAGTAAATATGTGCATACAAAAATCAAACCTCTTTAGTAAAGCCCATTGCAGAAAGCATGATTAAAAAATGGAATCTGGCTGAATCCCAGAACACCTGTGGCATTGTGGGAAGGAAATACTAAACTAAAAGGTTAGAAAACAATCAGTGTAAGGGTCCCCCATGGCAGAAGGGGACTTGGGCATCATACAATCTCACATCCACTGGAAAATACCATGAGGTTTCCAAATGCTCTGGGAAAGGAGGCTTATCTGCCAAGTTCTGACAATGCACATCATCAAAAGGTTAGCGTGCAGCGCTCCGTTCCTCATTCTGACTCAGGAAACACAAGGCTCTGTAAGCCTGAGATTTCAGTCCAGCCTAAACAGGCAGGTGAGCAAAGCCGTAATATTTACCATCCATGGAAGAAACGCACTTTCTCACATCGCATGACCAAAAAAAAAAAAAACCCTCAAAATCCTATGTTGGTTCATTAGGCTGCTTTTTCATTCCCCACTCCTCCAAAATGCTGCCCTAAAGGGCAGCAGTAGTCTTTGCTGGTAGCAAATTTTCAAGAGTCAAAATATGAAATACAAAAGTTGATTTATAACACACTAAGAACACCCGCCCCCGCCCCCCGTCCCCCGCCCAACTAAATAAGTCCTTTTTTTTCTCTCTCTCTCTCTCCCTTATAGCCCTTGCTTGGGGCAGCCGGCCCTGATTTTCCTAGCGAGTCATTCCTCCATCTGGGCCCAGGCCTCCTCCGCCTTCTGGTAGTACTGGTTGGCCAGCCGGCCCTTCATGGCTTCCATAGCTGCTTCCGCTGCCTCTGTGTACAAGTCGCCTGAAAAACAGCAAAGCGGGAGAGGAAGGCGTGAACCCATCTGTTGTTCTTGCCAGCCCAGTTGTTCTCCCCTTTCCTGGGAACAGTAGCTGAGTCTTTATCCAGTACTCATATACTGAAACTACTGATTCCCCTCTCGCTCCATGTGATCTGGGGGGTGGGGGCGCTATAGATAGGGACATGTGATTTGAGCCTGGCCAATCAGAGCACTAAGCCCTCCCCCCTATTGCCAGCCAAGCCACAGGGATTGGTCCAGACATAGCCATGGCCAATCAATGTCAGCCACCTCAATGGCCACAGTGATTGGTTTAGGGCTCAGCATGCAATTCAGTATGAGCCAATGAGGATCAGGTTGAGGATTTTTGCAGGACTAAAACCCTGATGGCTAGTGCTTAAGAGTTACGGCTGCTAACCAAAAGTTATGCAGTTCAAATCCAACAGATGCTCCTTGGAAACCCTATGGGGCAGTTTTACTGTCCTGCAGGGTCACTATGAGTCAGAATGACAGCAGGGCAACGGATTTGTTTTTGGGGTTTTTTTTTCTTTTTTTTTTTTTTGGTTAACTGTGGATGGGAGCCCTGGTGGCACAGTGGTTAAGAGCTAGGGCTGTTAATCAAAAGGTCAGCAGTTTGAATCCACCAGTCGCTCCCTGAAAACCGTATGGGGCAGCTGTGCTGTCCTATAGGGTCACTATGGGTCGGAATCGACTCGACGGCAACAGATTGAGTTTGGCTTGGTTAATTGTTGATGATGATGAAGATGGTGGTGGTGATGATCTGATTGAAATGATGATGATTACTTAATAATGAATACTACCAGTTTATTTAATTCTCATCCAGTAAAGCGGGCACTGTTCTTATCCCCATTTTGAGCAAATTCAAAGACTAAGAAGTTAAATAGCCTACCCCAGGTCACAAACTAGAAGGGACAATGCTGGGATTGGATCCCAGGTGGTCTTTTAACCACTTGGCTTACTGCTTCTCTTTCCACTTAGATGAACGATTGGAGGGTTAATAAGATCAGGGTCTGTCAGGGGCCACCACACAGGGCAGAGTGTGAAACTAACCAAGAGCACCCAGCCCAAGTTAAGAGATAAACAGCCAATCCTGATCCTATGGTTTGAGCCTCTGGACCTGGCCATGCCTGAAGCCAGTACTGTCTTGGAATTTGCAGTTCAGTGAGCTCACCTTTGCATATGTCAGTGTATTTCAGTCACTTACAATCCAAAGGGTCTTACCCATAGCTTTTTTTTTTAAAAATTGTTGTAGTTTACATGAAAGTTTACATTTCAAGTTAGTCTCTCATACAAAAATTTATACATACATTGTTATGTGACCCCAATCGCTCTCCCTATACTGTGACAGCACACTCCTCCTTTCCAGTCCTGATTTCCCATGTCCATTCAACCAGCTCCTAACCCTCTCTGCCTTCTCATCTCACCTCCGGACAGAAGCTGCCCATTTAGTCTCATGTATCTGCTCAAGCTAAGAAGCACACTCTTCATGAGTATCATTTTATCTCCCACAGTCCAGTCCAATCTTTGTCTGAAGAGTTGGCCTTGGGAATTGTTTTAGTTCTGGGTTGACAAGAGAGTCTGGGGGCCATGCTTTCTGGGGTTCCTCCCGTCTCAGTCAGACCATTAAGTTTGGTCTTTTTACTAGAATTTGAGTTGTGCACTCCACCTTTCTTCTGCTCCATCAGGGACCCTCTGTTGTGTTCCCTGTAGGGGTGGTCATTGGTGGCCCATGGCTATTTCTTGAGTTAGGAGCCAGCGTGGTTAGGGATGAGGGGAAAGACAAGGAGCAAACTTCTTCCTGTCTTGGTGTGTACCTAAATTCTCCCTTGGGCATGGGCTTTTTCCACTTGCTGGTCTGTCCCTAATCAATGGCTGCAAACTAACACAGGAGCCTCATGCCCTACATATGAAATTCCTCTGTTTTGATGGCGATGCCATGTGTCACCTGCTCCAGGAAGTTTTCCTTGACTTATTAACTAACATCCATACTGGGCTTTTAGAGCTTACATACGTCCCTCCTTTCTGGAAGATGGGGACTGGGCCTTACACTGAGCCTGTTTTCCCAGGCTTAAGTGGCCAGACTTTGAGTGACTCTACGAGCTGTGTGACCGTGAGCAAGTTCCTTTCTCACAGAGGATCTGCCTCAGCTTTCTCAACTATAAAATGGGGACAATTACACTTACCTCATGGAGTTGAAGGACTAAAATGAGATACTGTTAGTAAAGTGCTTAGCATAAGAAATTACGCTTATTATTATTCATAGAATTTCCTAGCACTGTGTGGGTATAAAAAGACCCAAGTACTGTAGAAAACACACTGGAGTAAGAGGTCAAGGGCCTGGGTTCCAGCTCCACCACCTCCCAGTTGTGTGGATTAAGAGACTGAGGCTCAGAGATGTCTCACAGCCAGTAAAAAGCCAAGCCAGGATTTGAACCCAGGTCTCTGGGATCTCCAACTGGATGCTTTGCTGACAGAGCAGCCCACTGCCACCTGCCAAGCCTGTTGCCAACTCCCACTGCATCAGGCACTGCCCAAAGCCTCGCACTTCTGCACTGAGTACTGAATAAGACTAAAAAAACAAAAAACCCACTGTGAATTACTAGTCTAATTTTTAAAAATTAATAAGAGATAACACATGCTCAGATACTGTTTTCTAATCACCTAGTATGGTGTTTCCTGAACTTCAGTTGTTCCTGATTTTCCTTTACAATTTTAGATTTGCTGTATCTTCATTGATGGGTCCACAAACCATTATCTAAAACACTTGGGACCAAATATGTTAGAAATTCATAACTTTTTTTTTCTTCTTCTTGTTTTGTGACATTAGCTGCAAGCCCCACAACGTGACAGCACACTCCCGCTTTCCACCTCGGGTTCCCTGTGTCCATTCAACCAGTTCCTGTCCCTTCCTGCCTCCTCATCCTGCTTTCAGCCAGGAGCTGCCCATTTGGTCTCGTATAATTGACTGAACTAAGAAGCACGTTCCTCATATGTATTATTTTTTGTTTTATGGTCCTGTCTAATTTTTGTCGGAAGAGTGGGCTTTGGTAATGGTTTCAGTTCTGGGTTAACAGTGCATCCGGAGGCCAGAGTTTCAGGGATTCCTCCAGTCTCTGTCAGACCATTAAGTCTAGTCTTTTTACATGAATTTGAGTTCTGTTCTACATTTTTCTTCTACTCTATCCAGGACTCTCTGTTGTGTCCCCTGTCAGGGCGGTCACTGGTGGTAGCTGGGCCAAAATTCACAACTTTTTGGATTTTAGAAAGGTGATTCAGCAGTATGCCATAAATGGGCAATACTCCTGTGCATTCTGGCGCAAGGGTTTGACCCCATGATCAAACATTCCTTGTTCTGCAGTGTAACACAGCATCATTTTCCCTAAGTAGAAGAAACAAAGAGTATAAACAGCCTTACGTCAGTTCAAGACAGGTTTCGCAACCAAATGAGTTTGTGTAAAACTTACAAAAACACTTTTGGTTTTCAGGGTTTTTTGAATTCAGAAATTTCAAATAAGGGATTATTGATCTGCATTATTATTTGCTTGTTTTATACAACCTTTAAAAAAACTTTTTAAACTTAGCCTTATTCTATACCTGAGAAAGCAAGAGTTCAGTATGTGTATTATGTAACAGGAAGAAAAACTGTCCATCAACTGATGAATCGGTAAATAATGGAATATTATTTGGTAATAAAAAAGAATGAAGTAATGTCTGGAATCTTAAAAGTTTGTGAGTGGTCATCTAAGATACAACTATTGGTCTCTACTCATCTAAAGCAAAAGAAAAAGAAGAAAGCCAAAGACTCAAAGAAGAAACTAGTCTACAGGACAAACAGTCTACACGAACCACGGCCACATCTACCCTGACACCAGAACAACTACATGACGCCCAGCTACCATGACCAGCAGCGCTAATCAGGGCCGTAACAGATGGACCCTGATAGAATGGGAGCAAATGTGGAACAGAACCTCAAATTCCTAAAAAAGAAAAACAAAACACCAGACCTACTGGACTGGTTGAGACTAGAGGACTCCCTGAGACTAATGCCCTGAAATAGTCTCCAAACCTTGAACCGAAACCAACCTCTGAGGTCACTTTATAGCTAAATAACAAATTGGCTCACAAAATAATGAATATTACCTGTAAGTACTGTGTTCCTTTAAACAATTAGCTATATGAGACCAGATAGTCAACAATTACTTTAAAACAAAGATGAGAATGTAAGGGGCGGGGAAACCAGATTAATGAAAATGGAACAACCAGAATGGAAATGCACCGTGAAAAATGTAACCAATGTTACTGAACAACTTGCCTAGAAATTGTTGAATGAGAACCTACATTGCTGTCTAAACCTTCCCCCAAAACACAACAAAACACTATTAAAGAAAAAAAAAAAGGAATGAAGTACTGATACATGCTCTAATGGCACATGGATGAACCTTGAAAACATTATGCTGAGTGAAAGAAGCCAGTCACAAAAGGTCACGTATTGTATGATTCCATCTATGAAATGTCCAGAATAGGTAAATCCATAGAGATGGAGGGTAGACTAGTGGCTGTCAGGGGATGGGAAGAGAGGGAGACAGACACTGTCAAGGATTGAACTGTGTCCCCCCCAAAATATCTGTCAGCTTGGCTGGGTTCTGATTCCCAGTATTGTATGACTGTGTACCATTTTGTAATCTGATGTGATTTCCTTATGTGTTGTGAACTCTTATCACTTTGATATAATAAGATGGATTAGTGGCAGTTATATACTGATGAAGTCTACAAGATTAGATAGTGTCTTAAGGCGATCTCTTTTGAGATATAAAAGAGAGAAGCGAGCAGAGAGACCTGGGGACCTCATACCACCAAGAAAGCAGTGCCGGGAGCAGAGCAAATCCTTTGGACCTGAGATTCCTGTGCTGAGAGGCTCCCAGACCAAGGGAAGACTGATGCATCATGAGGACCTTCCTCCAGACCCGACAGAGGAAGAAAGACTTCCCCTGGAGCCAGCACCCTGAATTTGGACTTGTAACCTACTAGACTGTGAGAGAATAAATTTCTCTTTGTGAAAGCCATCCACTTGGGGTATTTCTGTTAGAGCAGCACTAGATGACTAAGACAGACACTGACTGCTAATAGGTACAGGGTTTCTTTTTGAGAATGTTCTGGAATTAGATAGTAGTGATGTTGGACAACACTGTGAATATACTAAAAAACCACTAAATTGTATACTTTAAAATAGCGAATTTTATCTCAATTTTTAAAAATTACAGAAAAACATATAACTAATATATAACTAATATATTAACATGCTCGGCTGCTAACTGAAAGGCTGGTGGTTTGATTCCGCCTAGAGGTGCCTCAAAAGAATGGCCTGGTGATGTACTTCCAAAAAAATCAGCCATTGAAAATCCTATGGAGTAGTTCTACTCTGACACACATGGGGTTGCCACGAGTTGGAATCGACTCCACGGCAACTGTTTTGTTTTTTTTTCACTAGTAATAACTAACCATTAAAATATAAGTGTTCATCTGCATATGAGCTCTGTAAAGCCGCTTCCTGAGCTAGCACTGTATGGGTATCCCACCTGGCAAAATACGGGGCCAGGGTGGATCTTTCAGGAGCTCTGCTTGGCTGCTAACCAAAAGGTTGGTGGTTCGAACCGACTAGCTGCTCCGTGAGAGAAAGATGTGGCAATCTGCTTCTGTAAAGATTTACAGCCTTAGAAATTCTATGGGGCAGTTCTACTTTGTCCTATAGGGTCACTATGAGTTGGAATCGACTTGACAGCAATGGGTCTGGTTTGGGTTTTTGGTGGATCTTTCTCCCCCACCAGAGCTGCCAAGTCCCTGAGGGAAGAGTGTCAGCCCTGCATCTTGCCACGATTCCCAGTGGAACGGGGATCATGCCCCTCCCTGTCCAGCGCTGTCCACCCAAGGGGCAGGTCGCCAGACATTACCTGATCTCTGTAGGTCCTTCTCCAGCCCGCAGCCACCCGTAAACAGCATCTCGGCCTCCCTGGCCAGCAGCATGTACCGGGGCTCATCTTGCATCCCATCATATTCACCACCCTCATCACAGTCTGTGGTCTCTAGGGCAGTGTTGTACCAGTGCAGGGCCTCTGACCAGTCTCGGGACCTTGCAAGAAATACAGAGGGAAAGAGGCAAGTTACCACGGCAATGGGGTAGAAGGGAGGAGGGCCATCCAGCAGGAAGGGCAAGTCAGAGATCCCAGCAGGGCCACACCTATGGTTCACAACCAGAGTACCCAATGCCACCACATCCAGGGGATGCCCTTCAGCATCAATTTATATATTTATCAAGATGGCAAACTCTCCCTTACAAAATCAGTATATTATAAGAATTTTCCAACAGAAGGAAGTACAGGATCTTGAAGAAGGGGGCCATTTTTCTAGTTTGCACAAAATCACCCTATGGGCTGGTAGGGTGTCCTAGCTAATCTGCCATATGACTCAGGTAGGGGAGGAGGTTGGGGGGGAACCTTTGCTGAGGCCTCCAGAACCATCCGACTAACAGCAATCATTTGACCCCATCTTATGCTCTGCCAGCGCTGGCCGGCTCTAGCTCTCCTCTAGCACAACATAGGACTTACCTGGAACAGCTGACTTCCTTCTTCTAGCCCTACTCCTCTGTTGTTGTGTGCCGTCAAGTTGGTTCGGACTCATAGTGACTCTACAGGGCAGAGTAGAACTGCCCCTTAGGGTTTCCAAGGCTGTAATCTTTATGGAAACAGACTGCACATCTTTCTCCCATGGAGTCACTGGCAGGTTCGAACTGCCAACCGGGGCTTTGACCGGTTCCGGTTTGACCCCCTGCTGAGAATTTGCATTTCCACCCCAGATATACTGAATCAGAATCTATGTTTTAACAAGATCCTCAGGTAATTCTTACGTATAACTCCCTGGAAACTTGTTGGAAATGCAAATTCTTGGCAGGGGGTCAAACTGGACCAAACAGGTTCAAAGCCCTGCAGCCAACCTTTCAGTTAGTTGCCGAGTGCTTAACCACTGTGCCACCAGGGCTCCTTTCTACTCTTCTACCCTCAACTATTTTTCCTATTGCAGCACATATATGGCCACACCACCAAGGGCATACTGAGCTTCCAACCAAACGTAAACAACACAAAATATAGAGTGAACAGGACCATAGACTTCTTCTTTTTTCTTTTGGTGTACTAACCACATATTACTAAGCACGTGGGTAACTATCTATAGTACACCAGGAAAAAACAAAGACAGAGGAACAGACAAGATGGTCTGTAGGCCTCACAAAATGTTGCAAGAGCAGTAGCTGTGATGACTTCCTGTTCTCGCCTCTTTGCTGTGGCCCCTGAGGTCCTACCTGCTCTCCAGTCTCAGCAGCTGTGAATCTCCCTCTGTGCCAGGCTCACTGGGAGGCTCTCTTCCTCAGATACATCAAGCTCTTTCCTGCACCGTGGCCTTTGCATCTGCTGTTCTGTCTGATTGGAACATTCTTCCCCCAACTCTTTCTACAGCTGGTTCCTCATCCTTCAGCTTGTACGTTATCTCTTCAGAGATGCCATCCCCAAACACCCTATTTCCTTACACCAATGACCTCAATCTGTAATTCTCCTGTGCTTAACCACTTGTTAATTACCGGTCTCCCCTTACTAGAACGTGAGCTCCAAGGAGGCAGGGACCTTGTCTGCTTTGTTCACTGCTGTATTCCCAAAGCCCAGCCCAGAGCCTGGCAAACAGCCCCAGCTCAAGAGATGTTTGTTGAATGAATAATTGTAAACAATTGGCTGGTTGTGATAATGTTCAGGAGACAACTTGACTCCATTTTATAAAGAAAGGGAAATGATTTCAAAATTAGTGGTGACACACCCAATAAACTAGGGTTTTAACACCAGACTAGAAGTCACTGGACTAGAAAAGCTCACCCCTTTCAGCTCTACTAATAGCAATGAGGAAGCGCCCACCTGCAGCCCAGGCTCCCACTAGCTCTACCTGAGTGACAGCGCCACAGTACCTGTCTGGGCTAAGGTTCTGGCCAGAGTCAAAAGCTCGCGCCACCACGATCATAGACTGTCTGTCGCCAGCTTCAGCTGCCTTCAGTAAGTAATCGAATCCTTTTGTTTTATTCTCTTCCGTCTCCTGTCGGTACAAACCAAAAAGGGGGGAGGCAAAGCAAATGAAACTTGAGCTAGAAGGAGCTGCCAGGATCTCACTCATCAATCTCCATATATATTTACATACATACATACATACATACATGCATGCATACATGCATACATACATACACACCAAAAAACCAAAACCAAACCTGTTGCCATTGAGTCAATTTTGACTCATAACCCAATAGGACAGAGTAGAACTGCTTCATAGGGTTTCCAAGGAGTGGCTGGTGGGTTTGAACTGCTGACCTTCTGGTTAGCAGCCAAGCTCTTAACCACTGTGCCACCAGGGCTCCTATATACATACACACACACACACACACAACTGTTGGAGGGAGAATGGAAGGATGGGGAACAGTGGGAAGGGAATTTTACTGTAAACCTTTCATATTAAAAAAGTTTTTTTTAAACATCATATGAATGTATTACCTATTCAAAAAGTTAAATAAATAAAAGGCTATGGAGTGTCTTTTTACCCTCTTCCAGTACGGGACCCCCCCCACCCACTGGGCCATGGCCAGGCCCACCGAGGAAGGCTGGTGCCTTTTGTCCATGGTGAGCCCAGCCTGACCCAACCACCCTGTCCATCCTAACGCTGGCCCACGTGACAGGGAGGATGGGGATAGATTCACCGGGGCCCCACACCCAGAAAGGGTCTCTAAACTTTCCCTAGGAAAGGCTCACACTTCTTAGACCTTGCCAGGTCCTGTTCACCACCAGGTCAGCCTCAATCCTCTCCTCCTTGTGCACACAGACCAGGGCAAGCGAGAAGGAGCAGACCTCACTCGGATTTCCCAACGCAGCTACATCCTGCTGTTTCAGTCTTGGCCCTGGCCCATGTCCTGCACTGTCTCCTCCTGCCCCGTGCTCTAGCTCTACTGATCTGCTTCCTGTCCTTTCGTCCACCATCTGTCTCTCACCTTTGGGCCTGGGCACATGCTGCTCCCTCTGCCTGAACTGCTCACCTTCCATACTCTGCTTGGCTGACTCCCATTCAGCCTTCAGGTCTAATGTGGATACCCATCCATCCGCCCACCTGCCTGCCGTCCGCCCGTCCGTCCGTCCACTCAACAAATGTATATTGAGCATCTGTGTGCCAGGCTCTGTTCTAGGCACTGGAGATACAGCCAGAACTGACGATCAACAGGAAGCCTGTGCTGACCCCTTGAAGCCCCAGTGAGGAGCCCTTCCTCATTTGTTTCTAGAAGTATTCTCTGCTTATCCCATCATGCCATTGCCTGATGATGTGCTTGTCACCTTCCCCTCACCCAAGGACAGAAACTGATTCCATTGATTTCAACGAACATTGGGACATTGCCTGGCCCCAAACCAATGACAGCATGGAGAGGCAGTTGAATGGCAGGTTGATCGAGCCCCCTCCGGCTGGGTCCCTGCCACTCCCTCACCTTCAGAGAGACGTCAGCCAGAATGTGGTGGGGCAGCTGCGAGTACATGAGCCCCAGACCCACAATGGCCTCCAGCTCGCCCAGGTCGGCCGCGTGCTCCAGGTGGAAGACTGCCGACTCACGGTCCCACTCCTCATCCTTCTCACAGAAGCGCCCGCCTTCATGGTACCGCACCATGGCCAGATGCACCTGCCACACAGAGTACAGTATTGGCCCCGCTGTCTGGGAGGCCGAAGCCAAGCCCGAGGACCGCCCAGCCAGCCTGCAGAAGGAGGCGATTAGCGGAGAGGTGTGTGAGCCTGGGGCCCCAGGTTAGTGCAAAGAGGGCTCTGAAATGGATATCACCAATACCTTCCCCAAAATAGACTTCCCGATTTTCTTTTCAAGGTCCAGAGCATTAAGCCTTTGCACTTCCAGGGCCACAGCCGAAGGTCTCGACAGGTGGAGGCGGGAGGAGTTAAGGAGATTCCACTGCTCCACACAAACCTGAAGGGAGAGAACGGGGCATGGTGGAGTTTACAGGTCAGAGAAGCCAGCAGGCTGGGCAATGGACGCTCGTTGCCAACACCGGCTGTCAGCAGCCCCTACTACATGAGCCTGATGACAGGAGAAAGGGCAGAGAACCCTTGCGGTTTCCAACTTCCTTGGACAAACACTACTCGATTTCTATTCACTCACATTCGGCCAGCTTGTGGGCGCTGAGAGAATGTTACAGCAACAGGACAAAACAACTAACAGAAAGGATAGCAGCAGCTCAGAGAGGCTGTTTTCCCCTCACTTAGCTTTCTGGGTTTGCTTGAGGGATTCGACTCTAAGCCGCCCCTTTTGTCCAGCTCCCCAAACAAGACATCAGAAGAATCTGACTTCTCACCTTCCAGCAAATGCACTTTGCTTTCCTCTGTGAATCACCACAAAGACACAGCAAAGCTGTGGGCAACATTAACAGGGCGGACCGGGGAATAGGTTTAGAAAACATATCATCTCTCACAAGTAAAGACACCTCTGTCCAAAGGTTCTCTCAGGACAAAGCCAGGTAGCTGTGTGCATGTGCCAAAGGAATCATTCACTGAGGAAAAGAGATTTCCTGGCAGGGCAAGCCTGAGAGGTCAGATTCACCAAAAACTTAAAGAGGGTTGGGCTTCCAGAACCATCCCCCAAGCTAATGTGTCCCTCACTTCCTTATATGAACCACCTGACACCTCAGGTGCAACCCCACCAGTTGCCTTCCAGTCAATTCTAACTTATGGTGACCCCATGTATGTCAGAGTAGAACTGTGCTCCATGGGGTTTTCAGTGGCTGATTTTTTGGAAGCAGATTGCCAGGCCTTTCTTCCGAGGCACCCCTGGGTGGACTTGAACCTTCAACCTTTCAGTTAGCAGCCAAGCATGTTAACTGTTTGCACCACCCAGGGACTCCATCAGGTGTTCCCCAATCCTACTGATTCAGAACCTCCAGGGGAGGGCCTGGAAATCTATATTTTTAACAAGCCTTTCAGGTGACTGTTACCATCAGGTAAATCAGGACCACGACACTCCACACGCTTTTCTCTAGCTGACTCCCAGATACACTTTGAAACGTCTCACCAGCAAGCCTTTGCTAGGCCAGGCTCTCTCCCACCTGGAAGGTACCTCTCTCCTGCTCTGGTCCTATTTCCTCAAATCCTACCTGTCCTTCAAGACTGGACCCACCCCATGCCACCTCCTCCCGGAGCCTTCCCCATCACCCCAGCAGGCCTTGACTGATTATTTACCACGTGGTATTTCTCAGTTGGGTCAGGTCTTCTCAGCAGGGTGTGGAGCAGGGTGTACCAACTGCAGCACTATTGCCATTTGGGGACGGATCATTCCGGGTTGTGGGAGCTGTCCTGTGCATTGTAGGACATTTAGCAGAACCCCTGTTCTCTAACCACTAGATGACAGCAGCACCCCGTCCCCAGCTGTGACAACCAAAAATGTCTCCAGACATTACTCAATGTCATCTGGGGGCAAAATCGTCCAGGGTTGGGAACCACTGGTGTAGAGGTGAAGAAACCAGGCTCAGGAGTCCGACTACAAGGGCTTGAATTCTGTCTCTACCACTTCCTAACCAGGGAACCTAGGGAAAGTTGCCTAACACCCCAGTTCTCATACAGAAAACAGGGATGAATAATGATAGTGCCCCCCTCATTGGGTGGGTGCAAGAAGTCAATGAATTAATACTGTAAAGCACCTACATGGTAAGTACTTTAACATGTGAGCTATGGCTGTTGTTGTTATTTCTCCTCAAGGATGGGGGCTGGTCTTCTCTAATCTCCCCTCAAATCCCCCAGTATCTTGCATAACATCCTGCCCAGGGCAGGAGCTCAAAAAATATTTGTTAAGGAGATTTGCTCCTAAAGAGAAAGAAGGAAACCAAAGACTCAAAGAAGAAACTGGTCTCTAAGACCAACTGCCTATACAAACCACGGCCTTACCTACCCAGAGACCAGAAGAACTAGATCGTGCCCGGCTACGACTACTGACTGTTCTGACTGGGGCCACAATAGATGGTCCTGGTTAGAATGGGAGAAAATTGTAGAACAAAACTCAAATTCTTAAAAAAAAAAAAAAAAAAAAAAAGGCCAGGCTCACTGGACTGGGAAAGACTAGGGGAACCCCCAAGACTATCACCCTGAGATACCCTTTAAACTTTGAAATGAAACTACTCCCAGAGGGTCATCTTTCAGCTAAATAGCAGATTAACTCATAAAATAAACAATATCACCCGTGGGTACCGTGCTCCTTTTAATTTAAAAAAAAAAAAAATCATCTATATGAGACCAAATGGTCAACATTTACCCTAAAGCAAAGATGAGAGGACCGGGGGCAGGGGGTGCGGGGAGGCAGGGAAGCAAGAATAACCGAAACAGAATAACCAGAATGGAAATAATGAGACTATTGACACAATGTAGAAAATGTAACCAATGTCACTGAACAATATGTATAGAAATTGTTAAATGGGAGTTTAATTTACTCTGTAAACTTTCACCAAAAACTCAGTAAAATATTAAAAAAAAAAAAAAAGATTTGCTCCATTGCAAAACCTTCCTTTAGGAAGTGTGTGAGGCAGCTAGGCAGGCAGCAATAGGCGTGAGAGAGGAGAAAGAGGAACAGAGCTGAGAAAGGCAAGTAAGTGGCCACAGGATTTCTCGGGGCTCATTACCCGTCCGGAGCTGCCCAGGCTGTCTTCATCAGACTCGTACCTCCGATTACCGTTTGAGTGGCCCTGAATGGAGGCAGAGATTAGATTGATTCAAAGAGGGTTTCTTCCTGAGGAACTAGCCCAGCCCTCCCCAAGTGACTCTCCTCAGGGGACCCTCCTCCTGAGAACTAGAAGCCTTGTCTGCTAAGCAGAGAGGATGCTGGGTAATGGGCATGAATGATGGCGCCAGTGCAGCCAAAGTCTTACTGTCCCTCTCCCTGTGTGAATACATGGAACTGACTCGAAGGCACACGATCCCAGCAGGCCCACAGAAGCTACCAGGAAATGGGGTGAATTCCTTCCTCTAGCCAAAGTATGCTTTTTATTCACAATCACAAAGCCGGGACCAGAGCACTCTCAGCAAGATTGGTCTTGATGTACAGGTTCAATTTTGACACATGGCAAACTCTGAATGGTCGATGCTGCCTGAGAGGCCTCCCTCACCACAGTACTAGTGGGAGTGTGCCTGGGGAAATCAACCTCTGGGGCCCTTCCCAGGGTCAGCCAGAATCCTGTGCCTTTGAGCTGGGCCCTCCCACCTAGACCAGCACCATTTTGGCTGATTACCCAGTATCCTCAGCTAGCAACTAAAGGTTCTAGCTTCACTATAAGATTTGTCCAACATTTTCAACCTAATTGTGCCTAAACCACCATGCTCGTTCCCTTACTTGTCCGCACTACCCTGTTTTATCTTCTTCCTGCATTAATCTTTATATGAAATGATCTTGTTTATTAATTTACTTGTAATACTCTCTCAAGACCCAATCAGACTCCCTTCTGGCTCTTTACCCTCCTGGACAATGAGGCAATTCTGGTCTTGTTTCCTGGGCGGTCCTTACGTGTTCTTGGGGCTCTGGGTCATCCAGCTCACCCCGCTTCTCACTGGGGTATCCGCTGTCCCCACTGTTCTCAGAGTCCTGTGGAGAGAAGACGGCCTTAGGGTCTCAGTCATCCTCTGAGTACCTGGTGAGGGTGGTGACATCTGGGCGTTCCAACCATTTGCATTCTCTCCTTTATCACATAACATGTCTAACATTCTCTTCCTCCAGCCCCTTCCTGGTTAGGTGACAAGGAGGCAGTACAAAGGAGTGGCTAAGAGCGTGGGCTCTGGAGCCAGACTGACTGGGCTCAAATCCTGGCCCTGGTACCTGCCAGCTGTGATCGTGGGGAACTAACTGCTTAATCTCTCTGAGCTGCAATTTCCTTAGCTATGAAATCAGGATTAATTATGGCACCTACATCAAAGGGCTGCGAACATGAAATGAGGTGTTAAAGTATGAGAATGTGGATCGTAAAGGTGCCATTAAGAGTGGCTCACCTAGGTCTGCCTTGAGCATTATGCTCTTTTAAGAACTACTTATATGAGATCAAATTGACAACAGCAACTCAAAAGATTAGATAGGAACCTTAGGGGCAGTAAGTTTACATTATTGAGGGCAGAACAACTCAGAAAAAGGCGGGTGAGAATGGTTGCACAACTCGAAGAATGTAATCAACGTCACTAAAGTGTACATGTAGAAATGTCAAACTGGTGTATGTTTCACATGTTCTCGACAACAACAATGAATAAAATTTAGAAGGGGGAAAAGAAAGAACTCATGTGACATCCAGAACAGGATTAAGAATGTTGACACATTGTGCAAAATGTAATCAATGTCATTGAATAATCTGTGTAGAAATTGTTAAATGGGAACTTAATTTGCTGTGTAAACTCTCACTGAAAACACAATAAAATATTTTTTTTTTTTAAAAAAAGAGTGGCTCACCTATTTCACAGGTGGAAAAACAAAGGCTGGTTTCCGGGGTATGACCCATCGACCCAAATACAGCATTGAGATCAATATTTACTACAACTAAGCCCTCTACTTAAACTGCAAAGGTCACTTGATCATATTTTTTTATTTTTCTAGATCTGAGTTCTGCTCTGAAAGGGAATCTGGTATTATATTTATTTGTATATTATATATATCTGCATATTTATATCATATTTACGATCTTTGTTGTTGATTGCTGTCGCATCAATTCCCATTCATGGCGACCCCACGAGTGCAGAATAGAACTGCTTCATAGGGTTTTCAAGGCTGTGACCTTTCAGAAGCAGGTCACCAGACCTGTCTTCTGAGGCATCTCTGGGTGGGTTTGAACCACCAACCTTGTGGCTAGTAGTCAAGCACTTAACTATTTGTGCCACCCAGGCTGCCTGGAATCTGGTATTATTTGGAATCTCCAAAACTTCCATCCTTTGCCTATCAATGTTGACTTTTTGCCATATCTGCATGTCACTGCATAACTAATTGAAAATTTTTTTTTTCCTTCCTTATTCTGCTGAGAAGTATTTCAAATACATAAATAAGTATAGAAAATACTAAAATGAACTCCTGTGTAACTACTACCCAGGGTTGTCAACTCTTAACATATGCCTTAGTTACTTTAGATCTTTTATTTTAAAAAGTAATTAAAACATTACTGTTAAACCCCAGCTCTGCACATCTACTCCACCATCCCGGGCAAGGTGGCCAACCTCTCTGAACCTCAGTGTCCTCATGCGAGAAACAGGGTGAATTCCCATCCCAGCCTGGGAGACAGAGGGCAACAAAGGACTGTGGCAGTTACAAAAGAGGGTGGTCTCAGGGTCAGACTTCCTGAGTTTGAACTCTGGCTCACTGCTGGCCAGCTAAGTGACCGTGAGCAAGTGGTTTGACCTTTCTGTGCCTCAGCTTCCTCATTTCTAAGTCAGGGATAATGAGAGTACTGACCAAGAAACTGCTAATAAACCAAAAAAAGAAAAACCAAACCCATGGCCATCAAGTCGATTCCGACACATAGCTACCCAATAGGACAGAGCAGAAATGCCCTACAGGGTTTCCAAGGAGCGGCTTGTAGATTCAAACTGCCAACCTTTCAGTTAGCAGCCGTAGCTCTCAACCACTGCACCACCAGGGCTTCGCAACTGCTAATACCGGGGATAAAAAGCAGGCGGCTGAAGGACAGGGGTGGGAGGGAGATTTCCACTGTATAATCTTTCGTACCTTTTCATTCTGAACCATGAGAAAGTATTCCCTATTCTAAAATTAAAAAAAATACTTACCTGTTAAGTTGTTGTGAGTATTAAATGAAAATATTTACCAAACACTTAAGATAGTGTCTGGCCATACTGCTGATTCCATGCATGTCAGCGATTATAATTTCCTTCTTCCACTCAAGAACTCGGAAAAGTAGTCGAGAGTGAACACACACCTCTGGGGCAATCTGAGGGTGCACTTAAAGAGACCTTGTCGTCTGTATAACTATGAAATTTTGGCAAAGTCTCTGTTTACTTAAAGAATTCATGTGCATTTTTCGTTGGGGGCATGTCTAGCTTATTAAGTTGTGCTGTTGTTGTCAGCAGCCATGGAGTCAATTCTGGCTCATGGCAGCCCCATGCGTGCAAAGTACAACTGCTTCACCGTGTTTTCAAAGCTGTGATCTTTTGGAAGCAGATCACCAAGACTGTCTTCCGAGGCACCTCTGGGGGGGGACTCAAATCACCAACTTTTCAGTTAGTAAACCTGTTGCTGTCGATTCCAACTCATAGCGACCCTATAGGACAGAGTAGAACTGCCCCATAGGAATTCCAAGGCTGTAATCTTTACAGAAGCAGACTGCCACATCTTTTTTTCCCAAGAATGGCTAGTGGGTTTGAACCACTGACCTTTCAGTTAGCAGCTGAGTGTTTAACCACTGCACCACTAGGGCTCCTTTATGGTTAATAGCTGAGCACTTAACCATTTGTACCACCCAGGGACTCTGATGTCTGTGTTTAATTTGACACCAGAATATATGTTTGTCTGAATGCAAATGCAATACCACTGAATCAACCGGAAGCTGCAGGAAATGTGTTCTGTTTAGCCTACCCGTGAGCATCACAGCAGACTGTGCTATATGTTACAGGGCTAAGACTTGCACGGGGGTCGAAGAGACAACCGCCCACCATGTGTGGCTGAACCAAACCCAGGGCTGAGCTGACCTTTACCAGAAGGTTGCACTGTTGCTGGTTTGGCCTCTCTTGTCTAACCACTTCTGGGAACTGCAATGGACCCAGCTCTTTCCATCTGACCATCCCTTCTCCACCCTAGAGAGGAAACCTCTGCCTTGGGCAGGAGGCTGAGATTCATCTGCATCCCCACCCTGGGCCATCTGGCATTGCCTGGAGCAGAACTGGTACCCACCTCTGAATCTGAAGATTCACCCTCCCTTCCTACTGGGAGTGAGTCTGCTCCACGCACCCCTGCTGGGGCTGTAGTCTGCAGCCTGCCTCCCTCTCTCTTCACTCACCCGATGGTTGTCCAGATGATCGTGGTCTCTGTGTGCCAGATTATCAAGGTCGCAGAACACCGGCCAATCTGGGCAGGGAGAAAACAGAGATAGTGCACTGGCTCCACTGCCGGAATCGCTCACAAGACCAACCTAGGGTGGGTCGTATCTGCCACCAAGCCTTTTTTTAATTTTTTAAAATTGTGGTCAATATATATGTATCAAAACATTTTCCATTTAAATGTTTTTTACATGTACAATTCAATGGCATTAATCATGGCCATCGTGTTTTTCAACCATCACCGTTATCCATTTCCATTTTTTTCCATTAACCTTAAAAGAAGCTCAGGGTCGCCTAAGCAATGATTCTCCTTTTCTCTCTCCCTCCTACTTGTCCCTGATATCTACTAATAAACTTGGTCTCTATATACTTGCCTATTCTAGATATTTCATCTAAGTGGGATCATACAATACTTGTCTTTTTGTGACTGAATTATTTCACTCAGCATAATGTTTTCAAGGTTCATCCATGTTGTAGCATGTATTGGGACTTCATTTCTCTTTATGTCTGAGTAATATTCCATTGTGTGGATATACCACATTTTATTTACCATTTATCTGTTGATCACCAAGCATTTTTTTTTTTTTTTTTAATTTTAAATTCTTAAAGAAGGAAGCAAAAATGGGGAAAGAATGTTGTCAGCACCTGGAGGGGCTACAGGTCTTCCTCAAGAACTTATTCCAATACAACTAATGGTTTCTACTTGTATGGAGCAAAAGAGAATGAAGGAAGCCAAAGGCTCAAAGAAGAAACCAGTCCACAGGACTAATGGCCCACATGAACCATGGCCTCCTCTAACCTGAGCCCAGAAGAACTAGATTGTGCCCAGCTACCACTACCAACTGTTCTGACCAGGCAACAGAAGGTCCCAGATAGAATGGGAGAGAAATGTAGAATAAAATTCAAATTCCTAAAACGGGCCAGACCTACTGGACCAAAAGAGACTAAAGGAACTCCCGAGACTATCACTCTAAGATACCCTTTGAACTTGGAACTAAAGCTATTTCTGGAGGTCACCTTTCAGCCAAATAATAGATTGGATCGTAATATAAACAGTATCACCCATGAATAATGTGCTCCCTTAAACAATCAACTATGTGAGACCAAATGGTCAACATTTACCCAAAAGCCAAGATGAGAAGGCAAGGAGGAGTAGGGAAGCTAGATCAATGGAAACGGAACAAACAGAATGGAAATAACGAGAATGCTGGCACATTGTGAAATCTGTAACCAATGTCATGAAACAAGTTGTATAAAAATTTTAAAATGGGAGCCTAATTTGCTGTGTAAACTTTCACCTAAAACACAATAAAATGGTATTTAAAAAAAAAAGAACTTATTCCAAAACAGATAGTGGTAATGGTTGAGTATTTAAAGTGAGATTCAGATGTAGTTTTCTTTTTTGGTGTTTTATCAAATATGGGTATCAGGGTTTTGCTAGTTTCATAAATATACTAAAATAGGTTACTTTGTTTTCTATCACAGGAATTGTTTTGTAGAATTTGGATGACCTATTTCTTGAAAATTTATTAAAATAACTTACCCATAAAACCATCTGGCCCATGAATCTTTTTGGTTAGCATGTCTGATTTTCTAACATAAATGAAAGCCAGTTTAGCTCTGCTCTACCTGGTGCCTGCCCCCTCCTATCACAATGACCAGGGACCGAACCATCACTCACGGAGGTTGTCTAGTTTCTGGCTGTGTGGTGTGGCCGAAGACGGTGAGGAAGGCAGAGAGTCAAAGGTTACATCACTCATATTCTCGTCTCCAGAGTTCTCTGAAAGGCGAAGGAGCAGGGGGGGCCGGCTCCCAGAAAGGGTCCTTACTCGGGGGCTCCCACATTTTTCTTCTGTCCCCCTCAAGATGGTCTTGGCTGATTGCTGGGGATGTTAACAAGGACACTCCCGTCACACAAGCATCCTCTGGGGATAAAGGACTCTCCCTGTTATCCCCTCTAGCCCTGAGGCCCTTTCAGCCACAGCCCCTGTAGATGCCTGTTAAGGGGCTGACATAAAATCTAAAAATAATCGGTGGGAATGAACCCTAAGGTCTCCAAGAAGAGGCACCTGGAACAAGAGCTCAAAGGCCCTGCCAGCCAGCATTCCCAAAGTATTGACCACACTCTATAGCCCTGACGACTCTGGATCCCACTACACATCCAGAATCCCAAGCTGGACTTACCCAACATTCTCTCATATCGAGTCCATGTAGCAGGATAGGGTAGGGGTTAGGCAGGGATGGGGTAGGGTGAGGTGGGGGTAGAGTGCACACATCCTGGACCCTGCAAGGTGCCCAGCCAACCACTTGTCAACACATCACACAAACACATACACTGCACACTTTCTCTCTTCATTTCTAGGTGCCTGTTTCCCTCACACTGGTCAAAAATTGGCCCACCTCAAGCAGACACCAGTTAGTCTGTTAGTGGAGGCACTGAGGAGGGCTTTGGGAATAACTAAGTTGGAGGGAGAAGAAGGGCACAGTTGGGGCAAGATCCTCCCAGTCCTGATATCCTCCATCAAGCAGGGCCTGGCCTGTCATCACACAGGGACACTGGATATGCCAGCCCCGGTAGCAGCGGAGCCCACCAGTCTGGCTGAGAAAAAGTGGTCCAAGCAGGTTCACATAAGGCACTCACCAGCAGTTTGGTGCTCTGATTCACGGTGTCCCTCTCCTTTGGCGAGAGGTCAAAGGGTGTGAGGCCCATGCTCTTGCAGATCCGGTTGCAGGCATGTGAATAGAAGAATAGAGCCATCCCTCGGACCCCTGCAGACAGAGCAGGCAGGGTCGGAATGTCTCTTTGTTTTGTGAGAAAACAGGGGGCAGTGCCTGGCACAATAAACATGGCAGGGGTAGGTCTAACAAGGGCTGGACTGGCAGGGGTCAGAGCTCCCAGGCTCCCATCTTGATGACCTTGGGAAGGTCAATATGTAGTTCAGCCTGTTCCCCTGGGTGCACAAAAAGCTCTGAGATTTTAAGAGGGAGTCTAGTTTCCATGGAGTCCTTGGATGGTACAAACGGTTAAGTGCTTGACTTCTAGCCAAAAGGTTCAAACTCACCCAGAGGTGCCTCAGAAGACAGGCCTGGCAATCTGCTTCCAAAAGGTCACAGCCTTGAAAACCCTATGGAACAGTTCTACTCCGCACACACGGGGTCATCAAGAGTCAGAATCAACTCAATGGCAACTAACAACAACAACGGTCTCCATGGAAACAAGCAGGCCTTGCCACCTACCTAGGTTGCCGTCTCCGAAGTCAGCGCCTGTCTCGGTGTGGATCTGCGGGTCGGTGTAGAGGTCGCCCACACCCTGGATGTCCACCACAATTAGCTGATGGCCGGAACGCTCAAACGTGAAGTGGCTGAAGGCCTGTGAGGTGCCAGGAAGAAAAACATGGCTGCAAGAGACCAGACTGGGCTGTGCAGACCCTGGCTAGGCACTGCTCTGAGGGGTTATGACACCCCAGCTCTGTCCATGTTATGGAGGCTTCCTCTGCAAGGAGGACTCTCATAGAAGAAAAGACACAAAAAGGAGCTGTTTAATTCAGAAGGGACCCTGTTTCTGTAGCCACCTTAGGTCCACACAAGCTGGCACAGGATGACTAGTGTCCCGTTACAGAATCTCCTTCGAAATGATCCGAGGAGCTTGAGGGACCTCTGAGGCTGACCTTGGGGGTGTGAGACCTCTCTGTGCCTCAGGGACCCTCCTCTCTAAGGGCTGAGTCTAGCCAGGCTCCCATCCCAAAGGGGTGGAGATGTGGGCGGAGTGAACCCCAGGGTCTCACCTGTGGTGTCAGCCGGATGTTGTCGTCACGGACAAAGCCCGAGTTGGAATTGTATTTGATGTACTTGCCCTCAATGTAGTGTTCCAGGTGGAAAAGGGGCTTGCCCGGTCTGTCCTTCAGCTCAATGAGGCACATCTGCATGATGTCCACCTGGTGGGGGCAGGAGTGGGGGTCAGGTGGAGGGGCAGGGCCTAGGCAGCACTCTCTTCTGATGAGGAGGGCAGAGAGGTTGACGTGAGCGAGTGTGCCTGGGCTCAGATCCTACCTCCATCACTAACTAGCTCTCTACGCCAGAAACTACTAATTTTCCCCCAGAGTCCATTCTCCCCTTTTCCTCTTAGAATGAAAACTCCCATCCCTGAGTTTTAACAAGATGCAAGGCCATCCAGCTAGGGGTGACACTGCTCAGCTTCCCTTGCAGCTAGGTGTCGCCATGTGACCAAGCCTGGCCAATGGGAAGTGAGCAGCAGTGATGGTGCAATTCGAGGTGGGCTTCTTCTCTTGCACCTCCCCAGGGCTGTAATGTGGACATCTGCCAGTGAGCCAGAACTGAGCATGTTGTGCAGGGCAACCCCCGGGGGATGGCAGAGCAACAAGACAGAAGGAATCAGGTCTCGGATGACTTCAAGGAAAAACACCACTCCACTCTGGGCCACCCACCAACATAAGACTGTTACATGAGTGATAAACCATTTCGTGTAAGCACACATTTGTAGGTCACTTTGCTAAGCAACTTAGCCTGTGCCTTACACTGATACTGTGAATTTGGGCAAGTTACTGCACCTCTCTGTGCCTCAGTTTCCTCACCTGTGGCACGGGGACCTCAGACGTAGGACAACGATTAAATTCGTTAATGCACACGAAGTGTGAAGAAGTGAGTCAACGTCTGCTGATGTTACTGTAATCAGCAGACACAACCTTAGAGTAACATATACCAACCTGTAAACAGTGGTTCCCTCCCTGCAATGGGGAATTATGGGGAACTTTGACATTCCTTGGAGTCCCTGGGTGGTGCAAACAGTTAACATGTTCGGCTGCTAACTGAAAGATTGGAGGTTTGAGTCCACCCAGGGGTGCCTCAGAAGAAAGGCCTGGTGACCTACTTCCAAAAAATCAGCCATTGAAAACCCTATGGAGCACAGTTCTACTCTGACACATATGGGGTCTACATGAGTCAGAAGAGACTCAATGGCAACTGGTTAACTGGTTGACATTCCTTGCTGAGTTTTTCACAAGGTATATGTTTACCTTTGTACGCAGAAGGAAATGAGTAATAGTGTGTATTGTTTAAGTACTGCACTACTAACTGAAAGGTTGGCTGGTGGTTCAAACCCACCTAGTGGCACCTTGGAAGCAAGGATCTGCTTCTTCCAAAATGTCAGTCTTGAAAACCCTATGGAGCAGTTCTACTCTGCACACATGGCATCACCATGAGTCAGAATAAACACGACAGCAACCACCACCAACACGGTTTGTAAAGTGGGGTACAGAAGACCTGTGATTCTTTGTGATTTCCTGGCCCCCTGCCCTTTTGCACAAGGAGTCACCCGCGGCACCCTGTCTCCCTCAATGCCACCCACAATATTGGAGGAGCCAGGTCTGGGTTCCCCAAGGAAATGACCATCCTGGGAACTGCTTGCTTGGCTAAGTCACCAGACGGATTCAGAGGCTGGGGCGGTCCAGAGCTGAGAGCTGAGAACTTCCCGAAACATGGCCTCAGTTCAAAGAACCAGCCTGAGGGGAAGGAGCGACCAGTTCTCAGAGTATTCCCGCCCCAATGCTGGCTCTGTCCCTAGCAGAGCAACCTGTTTGGCCAGAGGGCTCACTAGGTGAGGGGTAGGCACACAGGCATGAGTGGACAGACAGTACCACCTCACAGCAGCCCACTCCTCTCCCTTCATTAATTTGACCACATTATTATTTACAGAATGACCAGTGAACAAGACAGATAAAATCCCTGCTCTGCGGGGCATGGGCAACTAAAAAATAAACTAAATGAGTAAGACTCTTCCAGATAGGGCTAACTGCTTTGAAGAAAATAAAACAGAACAAACCAGAATGATGTGGCAGAGGGTGACTGGGTGAAAGGGGCTACTTCATTTAGAGTGGTCTGGGCTGGCCTCTCTGGGGAGGTGACAGATGAGCTGAGACCTGAACTATGAGAGGAGCTAGTCATTTCACAATCAGGGACACAGGCATGGAGCACAGACAGGGCAAAGTCCCTGAGGCAGAAACAGGCTTAGGGAGGAACAGAAAGGAGGCCAGGCTGGATGGTAGCAAATTACTAAGGAGGTCATAGCCCCCAAGGGTGGGGACTGTGGCTTCTGTGTCCAGCTCAAGTGTGCTTAATCTAGGGCCTTGCAAACAGCAGGTGCTCAGTAAATGCTGCTGTTGCATGGAAGTGTGGCTCCCCCAAGGTGTCTAGGAGACAGTGCCTTGTATCCTGTAGGTCAAACAGTGGGACAGCTGAACTGTGAACTTAGGCAGGGCCTCTAGAGGCCCAGAGCGATGTTTTCTAAAATGCCCACAGGCAATTCTGCTTGCCTGGGTCGCTCACCACCCCAGGGCCTCAAATGAAGGGGCCGACCTGGCAGGGGGTTAGAAAGTCTGCATTAGAGCCCCAGCTCCAGCCCTGCCTGGTTGGGCAAGTCACTTAACCTCTTTGAGCTGAGTTCCTCAGGGAGCAGCCATGTATTATTTCTACCTGTCTAGTATATATTTCCCACGTCTGCTTTTTTCTTGGGCGCCACCCCTTTCTCAGTCTCAGTCCAGGAGGTCTCGGTGGAATGACCCGTACTCCTGGCTCTAAGGGTGGGCACGCGGCTCAGGCTTGCCCAATCTGCATACTCCTTCCCCCTAGCCATAGTGATTGGCTCAGTGATAGGCATTTAAACTAACCAGAGCGAATGAAACTCAGTTCTGAGATTTTTATTGGAACTTGTGGGAAAATAGATGTTGTCATTCCAACGAGGTTGCTAAGAGGGCAGAGAGCGAGCGAGCCTGAAGCTTCTGGTGGCTGACATGCCACTATAAGTCCAAAGGCTGCCTGACAGTGACACCAACACAGAAGAAAATTGAGGCTAGAAATGGAGGAAGATTCCCCCGACAACCTCAGTTTGGCCCTGAATCCAAGTATGCCTGTGGCCAGAGCTATTTTTCAGTTACACGTGGTAATAAGTTCCCTCTTTTGATTAAGCCAGATTTATATGCCACTTGCATATAAAAGAATCCTGACCAACGGATCCCATCTGTAAAAGAGAGATAAAAACATTCCAATGTCAGAGCTCTGTTTTAAGGAATAAATGAATCTCTGCAGATAAAGTACTTGGCTCATAGTGCTCAATCCCCAGAAACCCAGTTGCTGTCAAGTCAACTCCGACTCATGGCAACCTCATGTGTGTCCGAGTAGAACTATGCTCCATAGGGTTTTCAATGGCTGATTTCTTTGGAAGTAGATCACCAGGCCTTTCTTCTGAGGCACCTCTGGGTGGACTCCAACCTACAACCTTTCGGTTAGCAGCTAGCACATAAACTGTCTGCGCCACTTAGGGACTCCCAGAGTTCAATAAATGGTTGTTATTAGCTTCTGTTAAGGAGGGGAAGAAGGGAACCTGTAGCAGGCACGCCACTGCCCCATCTGCAGACACTGTCCCACTGCACAGGAAAGCGGTGGGTAGGGGCGCCACACACCTGCTTGGGGGGCTTGTGGCGGTTATACTCCTCCCCCCAGAGCTTGGCCTCCATCTGTAGACGCACGTCCTCTAAGTACACATCCCTGCCAACGGGCTCGATGTAGCGCTTTGCCACATAGTTGGAGGCCCCCTTCCACTGCCGGGTGTGCAGGAAGTTGGAGAGCTTCTTCCTGTGGAGAGAGGCAGCAGGGGACTGTCTGGGGACTCTGGGTTCACTGGGACACAGCCCTGGGGAGAAACACTGCCTGAGACCTCAGGACAGCACGACCCTGCCTGACCTGGCCCGGCCATCATATCTGGCTGGATAGAGCCAGTAATATAAGGAGGACCCCAGGGGAGGTGGGAGGGCCTTCCCCACCCCACTGCATCCTTCAACGAGCTGGGAAGAGGGGTCAAGGCCTCATATTCTATTCCACTTGGCCTCAAAACACCAGACATAAGTGGGATGCACCTTGTTCTCCCCAAGCCCCTCCCCACAGCCAAGCCTAGCGTGTGGCCCAAGAGAGACCAGATGGAGAGGAGCTTGGGCTTCAAGAAGGCAGAGGCCACTGTCTCTGTTCCTTGGCCAAAAACATCTCAATGCCCCAGCTTTTGGGAGTGTGGAGGAAGAAGGGGCAGGACTCCGAGAGCCAGGTGGAGACACTTACGTCCTAAAGCACTCCCTCATCGCTCCACGGCCAAAGGGCTGAAAGACATCACACAGAGGGTTAGTTCCCACACCCCACCCAGAACAACCCTGAGCCAGGAGATTTTCCTCTTGGACATCACCTACCAAATGGGTGCCCTGGACCTCATCTCAATCCAAAAATCCCTGGGCCCTTTCTCCTGCCAAACTCAACCCAACGCCAAAGCCTGATAGACCTTTTGGCCTGGAGGCTGCTGGGAAGATGAGGACCACCTCTATTTCCCCCACCCTAGCTAAGTGGAGGACCCCCCGGGTCTAGGATGCTATGGGGGAAGAGGGGAGCAGGGCATGTCAAAGGATGTTTCTGTAACCAAAAGAGGTGGAAACAACCTAAATGTCCATCCACAGTATAATGGATAAATCACTGGTCCATCACTCAGTGGAACACTGTATAGCAATGAGAATGAACAAGTTACCGCTACAGCAAAAATATGGAGGACCTCACAGATAAAACGTTGAGCCAAAGGCGCCATACTCAAAAGGATACGCACTGCATGGCTCCACTTACATGAAGTACAAAAACAGGCAAAACTAACCTAGGGAGATAAAAGTTAGCGTGGTGCTTACTCTTGGGAGTTGGGCAGCAGGAGTGACCAGGGCTGAGATGGGCTTCGCGGGCAGGGGCTGGTTATGTTCTTTTTCTTGATTTGGGTGCTGGTTATGTAGATGTGCTCACTTTGTGAAAACTTACTGAGCTTATACTTATGATATATGTACTTTTCTGCGTGTGTGTGTTACACTTCAATAAAAAAATGTACTAAATACGAGACTGGGGGACTCCCCGAGACTATTGCCCTGAGATCCTTCAAACCTTGAACCAAAACTAACCCGAGGTCACCTTGTAGCTAAACAACAAACTGGTTAAAAAAAATAATAAACATCACCTGTAAGTACTGTGCGCCTTTAAAAAAATCACTTATATGAGACCAAATGGTAAAAAATTACTTTAAAACAAAGATGAGGATGTAAGGAGGCAGGGAAACTAGATTAATGGAAATGGACAACCAGAAGGGAAGTAACGAGAATGTTGACGCATTGTGAAGAATGTAACCAATGTCACTGAACAACTTGTGCAGAAATTGTTGAATGGGGTCCTAAACTGCTGTGTAAACCTTCACCGAAAACACAATAAAATATTATTTTCTAAAAAAATGTATTAAACAAAATGTGGTCTAGCCATACAATGGGATATTATTCAGACATAAAGAGAAATGAAGTTCTGATACATGCCACAACATGGATGAGCTTTGAAAACATTATGCTGAGTGAAATAAAAAACAAACAAACCAAACCCGTTGCCGTCGAGTCGATTCCGACTCATAGCGACCGTACAGGACAGAGTAGAACTGCCCCATAGGGTTTCCAAGGAGCACCTGGTGGATTTGAACTGCCATCCTTTTGGTTAGCAGCTGTAGCTCTTAACCACTGTGCCACCAGGGTTTCCAAGTCAGTCACAAAAAGACAAATATTGTATGATATCACTTACATGAAATACTTAGAATAGGCAAATGCATAAAGACCAAAGTTTATCAGTGGTGACCAGGGGCTGGGGGGAGGAAGGAATGAGAGTTACTGCTGAAGGGGTACTGAGTTTCTGTTTGGGGTGATGTAGAACTTTAGGAAATGGATAATGGTGATAATAGCACAACACAGTGAATGTAATTAATGTCACTGAACTGTACATTTAAAAATAATTAAAATGGCAAACTTTTTGTTATATATATTTTGCCACAATAAAATTTTTTCAAAGTGTACTTTAAAAAAATCATCCTAACCTTTACTATGGGGAAAATACTCTATTTTCTAGTCTATATCATTATTCTTTTCAGAAGGTTAGTTGGAACCCACTGAACTTATTTCACAGAACAGTAATAGGTGGTGACCTGCAATTTCAAAAACAGTGGTATAAAGGATTCCCAATGTTAAAAAGATAAAGTGGGTGTGGAGGAGGGGCATGGACTGAAGCCTGTTCCAGAAAGCCCTCCACTCAGCCCTGTCCCACAGGGCTCAGGGCCCGGCTCACCTGAGACGCCATCTTGATCAGAACTTCGTCTTGCAGCCACTCCCCCGTGACAGCGTTGTACCTACAGAGACCAGAGCCCCCAAAGGGTGAATCGTCCATAACATGATCCCAACACTCACTGGCTAAAGGCCAAAGACCCAACTGGCCCCTCACTGCCCTCAGGATCAAGCTCTACCTCGGGCCCACGAGGCCCAGCCAACCTCCTCAGCCACGTTTGTAGACACATCCCCTCCCCTCCCTGGCCCCCACCACACTGGCCTCCTTCCCTTTGCTCGAGTGCAGCTGGCTTTGTATGTGTTCCCTCTTCACTGTGTCCCCCTGTTATGGATGGAATTGTGTCCCCGCAAAATATTTGTTGTAAATCCTAATCCCTATACCTGTGGTTATAATCCCATTCGAGAATGGATTTTCTTTGTTATGTTAATGAGACAGTAGTATAGGGTATGTCTTAAGTCAATCTCTTTTGAGATATAAAAGGGATTAAACAAGCAAGTGAGAAGCAGAGATGGGGGACGAGAGATGCCAAGCCACATAAAGATCACCCAGGAGCAGAAACTCAGAAGAGACAAGGACCTTCCTCCAGAACTGACAGAGACAGAAAGCCTTCTCCTAGAGCCAGCACATTAAATTCAGACTTCTAGCCTCCAAAACTGTGAGAAAATAAATTTCTGTTTGTTAAAGCCACCCACTTGTGGTATTTGTTATAACAGTACTAGATAACTAAGACACCCTTGTTTTACCTCTCCTCAGCTGTGCTGTTGGCTGACTTGCCCCTTGTCTGGCTCACAACAGCCTGTAACTCCCCAAAGCAGGCCCACATCTGTCTTGTTCACTGCAGGGCCTGGTGTGTGCAGATACTTAACAAATACATGTTGGATGAATGATGGAATAAATAAATATCCTTCTTATAACTGGTCTGCGTAATGAATGGCACGTCCCAGGAAGGGAGATGACAATGGCTTTCATCTTACCATGCACCTGTTCAAGGCCTAGCCCAGGTAGCTAAGATTAAGGATGGTCCCAGTATGCACAGGGATGGAGGATGGTCCCACTTCCAAGTTCAGCCAGGAGAGGGGCTGCTGTGTGCACACCAAGGGCAGATAAGGATAGAGAGGTGTCATGGATTGAATTCTGTCCCCCAAAAATATGTGTATCAATCTGGCTAGGCCATAATTCCCAGTATTGTGTGATTGTCCACCATTTTATCATCTGATGTGATTTTCCTATGTGTTGTAAACCCTACCTCTACGATGTTAATGAGGTAGGATAGGCAGCCGTTATGTTAATGAGGCAGGACTCAATCTACAAGATTGGATTGTGTCTTGAGCCAATCTCTTTTGAGATATGAAAGAGAGAAGTGAGCAGAGACACATGGGGATCTCATACCACCAAGAAAGCAGCACTAGGAGCACAGCGTGTCCTTTGGACCTGGGGTTCCTGTGCAGAGAAGTTCCTAGTCCAGGGCAAGATTGATGACAAGGTCCTTCCTCCAGAGCCAACAGAGAAAGCCTTCCCCTGGAGCTGACACCCTGAATTTGGACTTCTAGCCTACTAGACTGTTAGAGAATAAACTTCTGTTTGTTAAAACCATCCACTTGTGGTATTTCTGTTACAGCCGCACTAGATAACTAAGACAAGAGGGTTCTAGAGCTTTTCTATCTCTTCTTTCTCAGAGCAAATCTACCCCTGGGCCGGGCTGGGCCTCTTCAAACAGGTTTGCCTGGTGGAAGGCTCATTAGCTCTAAAACTTCCCCCGAGGCTGAGGTATTCTCACCTCTGATCAGAAGCCTCCCCTGGCACACCCCTCAGCGGGGGCAGGCTCCAGAACATTCCCAGCCCCAGTGAGAACAGGTTTCTCAGAGCCTGAGACCTCTACAAGCAGGGGCCTGACAGGTAACCTCCCCCAGGCATGGAAGGAGAAGAGTTTGTCACAGTTGAAAACTTGCTCACAACCAGCCCAAGGTAAGCACTGTGCTCAATAAATAACAGCAATGATGATGATGATGATGATTATATAGAGACTAAACTCCCCTGCTGTAGAGTAGATTCTGACTCATAGCGACCCTAGAACACAGAGCAGAACTACCCCACAGGGTCTCCAAGGCTGTAATCTTTATGGGAGCTGAGTGCCGTATCTTTCTCCCATGGAGCAGCTGGTAGGTTCAACCTGCTGACCTTTGGGTTAGCAGCTGAGCGCTTAACCACTGTGAAAAGAAATCATCCTCTCTCACCTCCGAAAGAGAATGCAAAGTGAGGGGTGCCCAGAAGTTGGGGTGGGGGTAACATTGGAAGGGTCTTATTTATTTGTCCTTCACAACCAATAAAATCATAAAGATAGACTTGCTCCAAGTTCCCTGAGCACTCACGATATGCTGGGTGCTTAAATGGATCACCTCATTTAAACTTTGCAGCAGCCCAATGAGACTGGCAATTATCGTGCCCAATTTAAAGATGAAGAAACCAAGGCTAAGAGAGGTGAAGCAATCTGTCCAAAAGCCAGGATTCAAGACCAGGTCAGTTAAACCAGAACCTTGTCCTTAACCAGCCCAGGTACAACCCATGTGGCTAGGAATCTGCCCCAATAAAGGGTTGGCTTGTACCAGAGCTCTTCAGAAACCAGGGATGGAGGAGAAGGCCCCCAATTGAGAAGCCTCAGGAGATTCTAGCCATCAGTGCTTGGCTCCCCATCACCGGTTGGCAGGGCAGGTAAAGTCAGCCACTTAGGTTTGGAAATAAACAGTGTCTGGCCTGGCCCCAGCTCCTGGAATATGGAGTTAGACCAGCATGTAGGTCCTGCTTTGCCAGCTGCTGATCCCAGGGGCCCACCCATGGTGTTTGCAGTCCTCAGCCTGGCAGCCATGTGCCACCAGCCAGCCACCACACTGCTCTTGCAGGCAGGAAAGAGAAGAGCCGATATCCTACCCTACCCTAATTGGGCTCCACAGCTGACCCCGCTGGGAAAGGTCTCCAGGGTGGGAAGGGGGTGCGTGCTGGGCTCTAAAGCCATCTCCTCACAAAGTGGAAGCAGGAATACAATGCCGACAGGTGGAGAGGATGCCACTGTTTCTGCCTGCCTAGCATCTGCTCCCCCTTCCTCTGGTACCAATTTTCCTTTGGGGAACCACCTACCCTCCATTTTCAGAACAAGTGGTCTGGGTGGAGCTGATCTCCCGGAGCTCCCTGGCATCAGAGGGGGCATGTGATATATGATTTAGATCTGGAGAATCAGAGCAAGTCTCCCTGGCCACATGATTGGGTGGGCATGTAACCAAAACTAGGCCAATGAGATTCAAACAGGGAACTTTTGTTTAAAAAAAACAGATGTGATCGGGTGAGATGTAATGCTGGGCTGCCAGGAGCATCTGTGTCATTAATGTAAAAGAGTCTGAGATCACAGTTGAAAGCATCCTTACAGCATCTGGAACCAGCCATGCCTGAAGCCCAGATACATGAGACAAACATTCCCTTCTACCCTTATACCACTGTGAATTGGGTTTCTGTTACTTGTAACTGAAACAATTGTTGTTGTTAGGTGTCGTCGAGTCAGGCCCTATGTACAACAGAACGAAACACTGCCCGTGTTTCCCTTCCTGTGCCATACTCACTATCATTGCTATGTTTGAGCCCATTGTTGCAGCCACTGTGTCAATCCATCTCGCTGAGGATCTTCTTCTTTTTGAAACAGAACCAACCAAAAACCAAACTGGTTGCCATCAAGTCAATTCCGATGCATGGCGACCCTATAGTACAATGTAGAACTGCCCCATAGAGTTTCCAAGGAGCGCCTGGTGGATTTGAATTGCCGACCTTTTGGTTAACAGCCGTAGCTCTTAACCACTACGCCACCAGGGTTTCCTTTTGAAAGGAAATTCAAGAGCACTGGACTGAGAGTCAGGAGATTAGGTAATTAACTATCTGAGTGACCCTGGGCAAATGTCTCTCATCTGGGGCAGGTACCATGTGAACTGAGACGGTTGGCCTGGATGATTCTGAATGTCAAAGCCGGAGGGGCTACAGTGGTCACAGGGCAGGGAGCAGGCTTTAGGGAGGAGCATGAATCGTCTAAAGTTACGAGCAATATTAGACATATGTATGCAATTTTCTGAAGAGATGGCCTCATCAGATTCTAAAGGATCCCAAATGCTTGACACATTTTACTTCAGCATTTTTAAATGAATAAATACATACAGATGCTTACAACAGTGCCCAGCACATGGAAGAGTCAATAAAATAAGGACTATCATCATCATCGAAGGACCCTGGTGGCGCAGTGGTTAAAGTGCTCGGCCAATAACCAAAAGGTCAGCGGTTCCCACAGTGGCTCTGTGGGAGAAAGATGTGGCAGTCTGCTTCTGTAAAGATCTACAGCCTCGAAAAACCTACGGGGCAGTTCTACTCTGTCTTATAAGGTTGCTATGAGTCAGAACTGACTCGATGGCAGTGGGTTTGGTTTTTTGGCTTGTCATCATCATCAAGCAGCCCTAGTGATGCAGTGGTTAAAGCACTCGGCTGCTAACCAAAAGGTCAGTAGTGTGAACCCATCAACCACTCTGCAGAAGAAAGATGTGGCAGTCTGCTTCCGTAAAGATTTACAGCCTTGGAAACCTTGTGGAGTCAGTTCTACTCTGTCCTACAGGGTTGCTATGAGTCGAACTGACTCACTGGCAACGGGAAATTTTTACGGAAGCAGGCTGCCAGACCCTTCTCCCGAGGAGCGGCTGGTAGGCTCAAACCGCCGATCTTTTTGGTTAGCAGCTGAGTGCGTAACCACTGTACCACCAAGACTCCTTCCTGTAAAGATCAGGGCCTTGGAAACCCCATCGGGCAGTTCTACCCTGTCCTATAGGATCGCTATGAGTTGGAATCGACTCAACAACAACAGGTTTATCATCATCATCATCACTGTCATTATTATTACATTAGTGGTAGTGTTTTGTGGTTTTGTTGTTTTTCATTCTTCCTGAAACTCTGAGAAAACTATTCCCTCCATCTGCTATTACAAATAGGAAATCCAGTGCCTCCAAGCTGTGCTTCATTTGTGAGTCTTTCCAGGACTCACCCTCCTCCACACCACCCCATCACACACCAGATTCCCAGTAGCTCTGCAGGGCTCCCACAAACACGCCCAGCAAATGTTTACTCCTCATCCCTGGAGGGGTGGGAGTCGGAACAGATTAACCAGTAAGCATGGTATGCATGGGCTTGCATTGAGCAAGGTAAGCACCGGCTTAACTGCATTTACTTGCTAATCTGTGGTGAGCAATTTCACCACTTTTTTTTTTATTGTTGTAGTTTAAGTGAAAGTTTACATTTCAAGTTAATCTCCCATACAAAAATTTATACATACATTGTTATGTGACCCTAACTGCTCTCCCTATACTGTGACAGCACACTCCTCCTTTCCAGCCCTGATTTCCCATGTCCATTCAACCAGCTCCTGACCCTCTCTGCCTTCTCATCTCACCTCCGGACAGAAGCTGCCCATTTAGTCTCACGTATCTACTTGAGCTAAGAAGCATACTCTTCATGAGTATCATTTTATGTCCCACAGTCCAGTCTAATCTTTGTCTGAAGAGTTGGCCTCGCGAATGGTTTTAGTTTTCTGCCAACAGAGAGTCTGGGGGCCATGTCTTCCGGGGTCCCTTCAGTCTCAATCAAGCCATTAAGTCTGGTCTTTTTACTAGAATTTGAGTTCTGCACCCAATTTTTCTCCTGCTCCGTCAGGGACTCTCTGTTGTGTTCCGTCAGGGTGGTCATTGGTGGTAGCTGGGCACCATCTAGTTCTT